TATATATATATATGTATGTATATATATATACTCCAAACTGCTGACTCATCTGGAGCAGGAGAGAGGTTTAATATGAGAATCAGAGAAGTGAGGTTGGAACAAACCATCTCCGGGGTCAGAGATGAGCAGTTGCACTGCAGGTCGTACGTCGGGATGGAAGCAGAGACCTCGCAGACGGAGCCGTGGGACAGCTGCGCCGGGTTCACCGGAGAGTAGACTGGATTCTTCAGGAGGTGGTTCAGGCTGCCGTGGGTCCCGTTGTTCGGAGCCGGACGGATACCGAGAAGGTCTGGTGAACAAAAAGTAAGTGAGAAAGGACAAGACCTCTATAAATTATTATCAGGCTCTTCAAAATAAAAGATACTTTCATTTCTACACATGCCGAGGTGTTTGAGACCCAATTTACCACCATCAGCTGTTTTAAATGAGACAGATGAACAGACACTCACCGCACATGAGGTTATATAATTCAATGTTTTCAAACGGAGCCACCTCCGTGTTGGTCTTAAAGGCTGGACCATAGCCAATAAAAATTGCCTGAAAGAGGAAAAAAACAGTTTTATTCATTTGTTTCTTGTGTTTAAATTCAGTGTAACTATAATTTCACTGGAAACAAAGCTATCAGTAAACAAAACAATGTCAAACATTTAACATCACAGCTTGTGTGTAATTATTTGAAATAAACTAAAGCCTGAAAAAGTTTACAGATCTTTACTCTGAGAGCTCGTTGGAAGGCATTAAAAGATGTTTTCAGGCAGGTTTTGACAGTTGTTTTAGTGAGTCTCATTATAGTAAAATCAAATCCCTGAGTAAAGCGTCTGCAAACACAGACGTGTGGTGAAAACCAGGATTAAGGTGACGTTAAATCCAAAACTCAACGTGTGAAGTTGGAGGAAAAGACAATTCTAAGGATTATTACTGCTCTTCAATCATTTTATTCTGAAATTCAATTTTCAATGTTTTTCTTAACATGGTCTTCCAATTAATTTAGTATTTGTTAGAATTTCTTCAAAACAGGCCAAAGTTCAAACAGCAAAGATTTAAGTTTTATCGTCTCGTTTGTGTAGCC